CGGAGCCCAGCAGGTCGAGGCTGCGGTGGCCTGGAGTGGCCACTGCACTCCAGTCTGGGCGACAGAGTGAGACTCCAACTCAAAAAAAAACATATCTGCGAGTTGAATAAATGAGAGTGAAGACAATGACGAGAAGATGCTGGTGCCCAGTGAACTCTTACATGACCAGCAGCAGCACAGAGGCAGAATCACAGTTCCTGGCTGGTGCCTGATTCCTTCCTTCAAGTCACAGAGAGTGACTATGACTCTAGGCAAACCAGGATTCCAGCAGTGGTTGACAAGTACCTTACACATATTGCTGCTGGAATTTCTATTTACCTTAAACTAATGATTCTTAAACACTGTTGCTTCCCTGACTAGTCAATTAGCAGAGGACAGTAGTCATGTCTGAGTTCTCTTCTAAACTCCCCTAGCAGGAGCACGATGTGTTACACACGGTGATCTGTGAATGGTTTGCAGAGAATCAGCTGAAGCTACATTACGCTCCAGTTATTGCCAGGAGCTCCTGCCGTGAGTGTGAATGGGCATTGCTGTGTTTTCCAGCATCTTCTGCGTTGGTCGTACATCCTATTCTCTGTTGACTTCTGGCTCTGTGTCCTGCTGTTGGAGGAAATCATTCTCGCATCACTTCTAAGGGAAAAGCAAAACAAAACAAACCGACCAAGCATAAGTTAGAGACCCGTTGCTCCCAAATCCCGTGGAGATGTGCCTGGTTTTGCTACTGGAAGATTTAAGGCACTTGGAGTAGCATAAATGGCAAGCCCCAACTTACGAGGTGAAGATTAAAGACCAGCTAATTCCTTCTTCTTTTACTAGATACCATACAAGGCAGATTCACTTTTATATTCAGAAGAAGTTGGGACGGTAAAAAGGAGATAATAGCTCTGTTAATGGGTCATTTTCTAATGCTTCAGAGTTATGTTTGCATGGATATTTTTTATATGTCATATATAGTGTATATCATATAGAATATATGTATTCATATATATGAATTACCAGGTGTTATGGTGACCACATATAATTAAAGAAAAATATTTTTGTCTCTCAAGAGAAGGTTTTTGCATGTAGACAACCCAACTCTTGGCTAGTGTTAGGGCTCAGAAACAGATTTCCTGAAATACGGTGATTTGATCATTTCAAATTCTCTCTACACCCCTCCCACCTCCCACTCCTCTCAGTCCTCCATCTCTCCTAAAGCCCAAGATGAAGGTGTCCTCTGAAGTTCCCTTCTCTGCCTGAGACTCTCCAAAGAAGAAAGCAGTGGCCTCTGATCCCTTTCCTGAGTTTTCATACTCTTAACCCACATTGCAAGGAGAAGTCGGTTAACATGCTTGGACAGACTTCTGTCACAAACCATTGTCTGCTCTGCATGCCCAACAGACTTTGTCCCAGGACACTGAATATTCTCAAGCCCATTTACTTCCTCTACACATAATTTGATATAGCCTTAAAATCATCTATACTTCCTCGTCTCCCTTTCTCCTAAAAAAATAATAAAAATAAATAAAAGAGGGTATATGCACACCTGTACCTCATTGTGTGGTGGGGTGGTCACTCTTTGATTCTTCCCCCCTACACACGTTAATAATGTATAAAACTTTTCTTCTCTTAATCTGCCTTTTGTCAGTTGATTTTCAGCAGAGGGAGGGGAAGCTTGCCCTTGGCTGCTACCCTAGCAACTTAAAGGATGACTCCTGTTAGGTTTGTTTATCCTAACGTTCAGATACTGTTTGCTTTTTCAAAGTGAAACAACATATTATAGAAAATCTGAGAAATACAAAACAAGTAGACATGAAGAAAAAACATGCACACATATAACCATAGTTAGATATATAGTTTTGCAGTGGTCTGAATGCTTGTGTTCCTCAAAATTCACATGTTGAAGCCTGACACCCAGTGTGGTGGTATTCGGAGATGGGGCTTTTGGGTGGTGATAAGGTCTTGAGGGTGGAGCTCTCCTGAAGGGGATTAGTGCCCTTATAAAAGAAGCCTGAGGGAGCTTGTTTGTCCTTCCGTCATGAGCAGGGAGAAGATGCCATCTATGAATCATTATTATTAAGTTCTTTTTTTGTTTTTTTTTTGAGTTGGAGTCTCACTTCATTGCCCAAGCTGGAGGGCAGTGGCACACTCATGGCCACTGCAAACTTGACCTGCTGGTCTCCGGTGATCCTTCCACCTCAGCCTTCCAAGTAGCCAGAACTACAGGTGCACGCTGCCACGCCCAGCTAATTTTTATTTATTTATTGTAGAGATGAAGTCTCACCAAGTTGCCCAGCCTGGCCTCCAACCCATGGGCTCAGGCAATTCACTCGCCTCGGCCTCCCAAAGTGCTGGGAAGACAGGCTGAGCCCTTGAGCCCAGCCTTTGAATCATAAAGTGGACCCTCACCTGACACCAAATCTGAGGGTGCCTTGAATTTGGACTTCTCAGTCTCCAGGATAGTGATAAATAATTTTTTGTTGTTTCTAAGTCACCCAGTCTATGGTATTTTGTTATAGCAGCCTAATGAACCAAGACACGTTTTTATTTTTATTGGGTAGTTTGACCTCTAACAGGGAAGTCAGACAGCAAGCAAACTTCTCTCAAGAAGGGAGCAGGAAAAAGTTGAGAAGTGCCATGGTAATGCCCCCTCTTCATCCTTTCAGCAACTTGCCCCTTTCTGGTGGGGGTTGGGCTTCTCCCTGCTCAAGGTCACAGCTGGTACTGCTTGGCAAGGTGACCTTTCCTATCACATACTTGCTGCAATCTGGAAACTCTACCAACCTCGTCACCACTGGAGACAGTGTTGGCTTCTGTGCTCCACCGGGCCTCAGTGGCTCAGTTGTCAGATAAACTCATGGCTTTCTTTTTGTCTTCCCAGACAGGAATTATTTCCCTGTATGACTGTGTCTTTAAGAGGAGCCTAGATTATAATCAGAAGTTGCATCGAGACGACAGAGAACATGCAAAAAGCCTGGGACTTCACGTTAATGAAGAGGTAATATTAACACAGGGTTAACAAGTTGCTTAACAGAGATGAACAAAAAGCACATGCAAGCAAACCTCATTTTTATTGCACTTTGCTTCACAGATAACGCATTTTTTTGAACAAATGTAAAATTTGTGGCAATCCTATTTTGAGCAAGTCTGTTGGCTTTTTTTTTCCTAATGGCACATACTCACTTTGTGTCTTTGTCAGCATTTTTAGCAATAAAGTATTTTTAAATTAAGGTATGTACTTTTTTTTTTTTGAGTTGGAGTCTCACTCTGTCGCCCAGACTGGAGTGCAGTGGCCGCTTCCGGCCACCGCAGCCTCGACCTGCTGGGCTCCGGCGATCCTTCCGCCTCAGCCTTCCGAGTAGCTGGAATTACAGGTATGCACTACCACGCCCGGCTGATGTTTTGATTTATTGTAGAGGTGAGGTCTCGCTGCCCAGGCGGGTCTCGAACCCGCGGGCTCAGGCAATCCACTCACCTCAGCATCCCAAAGGCACGGGATTACAGGCTGAGCCACCGAGCCCAGCTGGTATGTACTTTTAAAAAAATATATAATGCAGTATAGTGTAAACATCACTGTTATTAGCACTGGGAAACCATGAAAAATTGTGTGACTCGCTTTATTGTGATGGTCTGGAACCAAATCTGAAACATCTCTGAGTTGTGCTTGTACACGTGTGGATGTGTGTGTGTGTGTGTGTGTGTGTGTGTGTGTATGTGTATGTGTAGTGATGTGTTGCTTAACGACAGAGATTTGTTCTGAGAAATTCATCATGAGGCCATTTTGCCATTGAGTGAACATCGGAGAGTGTACTTACTCAAACCTAGGTGGTCTAGCCTATAGCTCTGGGTCTACACATCTAAATACTGTATGGCAGGCAATTATAATACAATGGCTTATATTTGTGTATCTAAACATTAAAAAGTACAATAAAAATACAGCATAGAAGATAAAAAATGGTCCACCTGTACAGAGCACTTACCATGCATGGAGCTTGCAGGCAGGCCTGGAGGTTTCTCTGGATGAGTCAGTGAGTGATGACAAGTGAATGAATGTGAGGACCTGGGGCATTACTGTACACAACTATAGATGTCATGAACACTGCACACAGCCTACACTGAATTTATTTTTAAAAATCTTTCTTCAATAGCTAATTAAACTTAGTTTATGATAATGCTTTTTACTTTATAAACTTGTTAATTTTTAAAACTTTTTGGCTTTGGTGATAACATTTGGCTTAAAACATAAACACATTGTACAGGTATACAAAAATATCTTCTTTAGATTTCCTATAAGCTTTTTTCTATTTTTTTTTTTTTTTTTACTTAATTCGTAAGCATTTTTGTTAAAGACAAAGACGCAAACACACACACTCGCCTAGGCCAACACAGGGTCAGGGCCATCAGTATCACTGCCTTCCACCTCCACATCTAGTCCCACAGGAAAGTCTCCAGGGGCAGTCATCTCCTATGATAGTAGTGCCTTCTCTGGAATACCTCCCACATAACCTGCCTGAGGTTGTTTTTTTAAAAGTTGAAGGAGTACAATCTAAAATAATAATAAAAAGTGTAGTATAGTAACTACATAAACTGGTAATGCTTTATGTCACTTTATTATCACTGTCAAGTATTATGTCCTGTACATAATTGTATGCTCCACTTTTATATGACTGGCATTATAGTAGGTTTGTTTACATCAGCATCACCACAAACACATGAGTAACACGTGCTATGATCACCACAAACACATGAGTAACACGTGCTATGATATCACAACAGTGATGATGCTGTTAGGTGATAGGAATTTCTCAACTCTGTTTAAACCTTATAAGCCAATGTCATATATGTAGCCTGTCGTTAACCAAAGCACCATTGTGTGGCACATGACTGTGCGTGTATATGTGTATGCACGTATATAGATATGCATGTGTGAACACATATGTGTATGTATGTGTATAATGGTATTTGTTTATGCTGTTTTTATGTATGTATGCCTGTTTGTGTGTACATGTGCATGTATATGTATATGTGTATGCACATATCTGTGTGCACGCGTGCATATTGCATGTGTTCATATGTGCGTGTATGTGTGCATGTGTGCACATGTATACGTTATATGTACGTGTGTCTATTTGCACACACACACATTGCATGTGTGCCTGTTCATATGTGCACGCATGTGTATGTATTGTATGTGTGTCAGTGCGTGCATATACATGTGTGTATATATGCATGTGTGGATATTGTGTGTACGTATGCATGTGTGTTCGTGTACGTGCATGCATGTCTGTGCATAGACACATATATATTTAATATAGTGTTCAGTTGCTTTCTGTCACTGTCTTTATGCCCTGTCTTCTCCACCTTACTGTGCTGAGAAGCTCAGGCTAAGCTATGATTGCATTTCCCTCTAGTCTGTCATGCCATTTGTATATTAATTTTTTCAAGTCTGTTTGGTTCTATGGAATTTAACAATTTAAGGAGAGCAAAACTAAACATTTCTCTTCAACACATTACACAAGTCTCTTCTTTACCTGAGTCCTGGCTATTGTAGTTCTTCTATGGATATTGACCTTCCAGGAATGGGGCTGCTCACACAAGAATCTTTCTCCCAAGTTTGGTTCCCAGGCCACCATCACCAGCACATGTAGTGCATTCCGAGCTGGTAGTGAAGTTGGTGTTTTTCTCATGAAAATCGCATGGCTTTTATTATATGTTTTATTATTATATCTTTAAGTGCCCCCCATGCACTACTAAGCACAAAGGGGAAAAGACGAAAGCCCTTGTTCTCTTAGAGCTGACGTTTCCACGAGGAGAGAGGAAAGTAAAAGGTAAAAAAATCATGAATGAATTCCAGGTAGCGATAAGTTGTACGCAGGAAAAGAGAACCACTTAAGCTGACAGGCAAAGTGAGAGGGATGAGGAGGGGGTTGGGGAGGGGCAGGGCCAAGAGATGGTGACCTCTGAGCCTGGACCTGGGTGGCGGGAAGGAACCTGAAGCAGCAGGAGTGAGGGAGGGACCAGGAAGGGCACATGGGCAGAGCAAGGTTCCAGAAGCTAGAAAGCGCTACTCTATGTGTTTGGAGACAGAGAGAGGCAGGGAAGGGAAGAAGGCAGGCAGGAGAAGGGCAGAGAGAGGAGGGGAGGGAGGGGAGAGAGGAAGGACATGAGTCTGGAGTCAAAGGGTGCCCGTTGCCCAGTGCAAGTCCTTGCCTTTTCCTCTGAACGACTTGAGGACATTGGAGGGTTCCAAACAGTGGCATGGGGTCTGACATAGCTTACGAGGTTCCCCGGCTTCTGTGTGGAGGCCACCCTCTTGGCCCACCTTGGTGGGACCCAGACTGACGCATGGCTCGGCTGTGCTGATGAACGCAGGCAGTGCTAAGTGCTCTGATAACCCTCACCAGGAACAGGAAAGGCCGGTTGGAGTGCTGACATCTTCTGTGTATGGCAAGCGCATCAACCAGCCCATTGAGGCCCTGAACCGGGACCACGGCCGCGCCAACCACGTCCAGGCTGACTTCTACAGGAAGAATGACATCCCCAGCCTCAAAGCACCCGGCTTTGGGCACATCACTCCAGCCTGAAGCCATCCCTGTGGCCCGTGGAGCACGTCGGGTGTGCCGCTGGCAGCTGAGAGTGCCCAGAGCCTTATTTCCCCTTTCCACAACATCTAGTAGCTGTAGTAAGGTCTTTGCTGCATCTTGACTGTGGGAAGGGTGAACAGACCAGCAGCTTTCTCTCAGGCTGTCTTGGTTAAGAACCTGGCCAACCTCCTTTAATACCTCTTAGGACTATCTAGTGTGATGATTTTCACCTGGAATTATTTAGGATTAAATGATCCTGGAGACTAATTCACTGTGAGCACCTGAATAAAATGAACACTTTATTCCCACTTGATGAAGGCTAGGTTGGTTTTTGTTCACTGGCTGTCTACATTTGCAGGATTCCTGGGGGAGGTGGGGTGGTCATGGGAGGGGGATGCAGTTATTTCATTGTTTTTTTTTTGAGTCAGGGGTCTCACCATGTTGCCCAGGCTGGAGTGCAGTGGCACAATCACAGCTCACTTCAACCTCAAACTCCTGGGCTCAGGCAATCCTCTTGCCTCAGATGCCCAAGTAGCTGGGACTACAGGCATGTGCCACCACATCCAGCTCATGTTTTGATTTTTTTGTGGAGATGAGGTCTTGCTATGTTTCCCAGGCTTGTCTTGAACTCCTGGGCTCAAGCCATCCTCCCTCCTTGGCTTCCCAAAGTGTTGGGATTACTGGTGTGAGCCACTGTGCCTCCCTAGTACTTTACTTAGCAGTTGTGGGAACAGCTATTGCCTGATCGCACAAACAACACTTCCATGTTTCTTTCTCCAAGAGAAGATATGATGGAGATTGCCCTTTGGCTATTTGAACTCCAGACACTACATTTTTTGTATTTTCAGAGATCTGAGCCAAAGAGAACAGAATTTTGCACAATTGGGAATAAAAACCCTAGTAAGAACGGATGGCCTCAGTAGCCAGCAATACTCGCTGGCACTCCTCAAGGGAGAGGCAGCCGAAGGTCATGAGGGGAGCCTGAACTTGGTGTTGGTTGTACACACGTGGGTAAAATTCCCGTGGTGCAATTTCTCTCTGTGTGGTCTAGGGAAAAACATTTCATCTATTGGAGCCAATATTTTCTCATCTTTATAATAAAATTTTCAAACCTAGAAGAGTTTGTGTGGAAACCAGTGAGTTACCAGAATGTAGTCATAACCCAGGCACAATATGCCACTCCAGCTCCAAGTAATCACCCCTTTGTGACTTTAAGCAGTCTTCTTTTGGGAAGCAACCCCTTTTAATCTAAGCTGGAAATGTTTACTTTGGAGATAATTTGAAACTTACCCAACTATTAAGATACCAACTATATTTCAAATGAATGGATCTCTTGGAAGATATCATTTTTTATCTAACATGATTAAATTTCCCACAGTTTAGCTGAAGATGGGCAGGCGACCTAGGTATCATCAATGCCAATTCCTCCACCACTGGTTTTAGAGGACGCTGTACAAATAAATGACACTGAGTTACTGGCAATTTCAAGGTTGAATGATTCCTAAATATTTATTTTTTTAAAACATTTTTTTCAATAGAGGTGCCTTTTATTTTTTCAAATAAAGGCAATAGTTTATTTGAAATGCCTTTGAGTGCATTATACCATATTTATAATAACATAATAGAAAATATATAAAGTTTGGGTTATAGAAATATTTATAAAGTATTCTTTATTCAGTCTTGATTTCAACAGAGACAAGGCATCTGTAAGTGTCTGCGATAAATTGATGTCCAACTCAAATGTTTTCATTTACTTTAAGTTAGACCTTACTCCCTTCACTTTCTGCTAAATGCTTACTTTCAAAACACAAGGCTGGAGTCAGGTGAGGTTTCAAAAGATCTCACATTTGTTAGGCAGTAAAGGAAAATTAAGTGTGTTCCTCTTGGTATCACAACACTTACAATTTAAAGCCAATACATGAATGCCAGTTAGAGTCATCTTATAAAAGAGAACAGATTCTTATATTAATGGGTTGCGTTTTATCAAATTTCTGCTGGTGGTTCATGATGTCTCGTGATCATTCATTATATGCAGAGTGAAGAAAAGCCAGATGGTTGCTGCCTTTAGGAAAAGCACAAGCACACTGAGTTGCAAAAAAAGAATAACACAGAGGATTGATGACAAAAAGACATTGCTAAACAGATATGCTAAAATACAGGGGTTTTAAGGGGACTGGACTCAAGGCATTTTTCACGAGAGAAGGCTTCCTGGAAGACTTAAAGGTTGAGGAGAACCTTGAGGTGGGATCTTTACTTGATACCAGTGGTACTGGGGTCTGGGCTCATGGAGGTGTACTTCAAGTCTCTGGTTGGTACTTTTGCTTACAGGGATGTTTTTAGTTGCTCAGAGCTTAAGGAGCTTCCACCAGGAGCTCTTTTCAGATGCCAAAGAGCGAACAGCTTTCTATTCTAGCCTGGCTTCAACCACAAATCAGCTGTGGAACTCTGAACACATGCCTGGATTTCTCTGCACCTGCTTCCTTGTTTGTAAAATGCAGGAGTTTCAAGCTTCACCATGGATCAGAATGACCTGGAGGATCCGTTAGCTAAAACAGTGATCATCGGGACCTTGGGCCTGGAGGATTTCTGATTCAGGATTCTCTTCCTCTGGGTTGGGACCTGATAATTTTCCTTCCTTCCTTCCTTCCTCCCTCCCTCCCTTCGTTCCTTCCTTCCTCCCTCCCTCCCTTCTTTCCTCCCTTCCTTCTTCCTTCCTTCCTTCCCTCCCTCTCTCCATTCCTTCCTTCCGTCCCTCCCTTCCTTCTTTCCTTCCTTACTCCTTCCCTCCAACCCTCCTTCCTTCGTTCCTCCTCCTCTCCCTCCGTCTCTCCTTCCTTCCTTCCTCTCTCCTTCTCTCTCTTCCTTCCTTCCTCCTCTCCCTTCCTCCCTCTCTTCCTTTTCTTCCTTTCTCTTTCTTCCTTCCTTCCTCCTTCTCTTCCACCTTCCTTTCTCCTTCTCTCCCTCCCTCCTTCTCTCCTTCCTTTCTTTTCTTCCATTCTTTCTCTTTTCCTTCTTTCCTTCCTTCCTCCTTCTCTCCCTCCCTCCCTTCTTTCTTCTTTTTTCTCTCCCTCCCTTTCCTTCCTTCCTTCCTCCTTCCCTCTCACCCTCCTTCCTTCCTTCCTTTCTTCTTTCCTTCCTTCCTTCCTCCTTCCCTCCCACCTTCCTTCCTTCCACTCTCGCTTTCTCTTTCTTTTCCTTCCTTCCTTTCATTTTCTCTTCTTTCCTTCCTTTCTTCCTTCTTCTCCTCCCACCCTCCTTCCTTTCTCTCTTTCCTTTTTCCTTTTCTTTCCTTTCCTTCCTTTCTTCCTCCTTCCCCCCTCCCCTTTCCTCTTATTGAGTTGAGGTCTCCCTCTGTCAAGCAGGCTGGAATGCAGTGGTGTGATTGCAGCTCACCACAGCCTTGACCTCCCAAGTAGCTGGGACTACAGGCACATGCTATCATACCAGCTAATTTTCATTTTTTATTTTTTGCTATTATTTTTTATTAAGTCTTGCTATGATGTCTAGGCTGGTCTTCACCTCCGAGGCTCAAGGAATCCTCCTACCTCAGACTCCCAAAGTGCTGGGATTACAGGCATGAGCCACCATGCCCGTTTGCATTTCTGACAAATTTCCAGATAACACCAAGGCTGCTGGCCTGGGATCACACTTGGAGAGGCCTGTCTGTGCACAGAGCTTTGCACAGTAGACTCTGACAGCGACTCCGATTGCTTTTGAAAATCTATTGTTTGGTGATGCAGCTTTGGGAAATATTCTCCTTTTGAGTTGTTTGTACCACAAATCCAAGTTCAGCGCATGGACGTGGGGGAGATGGAGGGACTGTGTTTATGAGAACTTGGTGAATCACCCAACTGTGAGTGTGCACCCAGGGCAGGTGCCCGACAGCAACCTGAGGGTGAAAAAGGTACGAAGTGAAGAAGGCAGAATCCACCGGGCACCCCGGCTGGTCATCCTTATGAATCACACTTGAGGCCACTTTGAGCTCACTGAAACTCTACGGCATTCCAGGTCTTTCAGTTAGAGTGAACATAAATGCCCTTAAAATATTGCTCTTGCTTTAACCACTTTTTTTTTGAAGACTTAGGTATATTAAGGCCAATGCTGAGTTGTGATTACAGGATCAAAAAATTCCTGATTGAGGCAGAAAATGAAGCAAGTTATGCTACTGTGTGATTCAGGACAGGTATTCCTTTTTTTTTTTTTTTTTTGAGACAGGCTCTCGCTCTCTTGCCCAGGTTGGAGTGCAGTGGCATGATCATGGCTCACTGCAGCCTTGAATGCCTGGGCTCAAGAGATCCTCCTGCCTCAGTCTCTCAAGTACGTGGGACTACAGGCGTGTATTAACATGCCTAGCTAATTTTCCTGAAGACCAGGTCTGGCTATGTTGCCCAGGCTGGTCTCAAGTCATTCTCTTGCCTCGGCCTCCTAAAGTGCTGAGATTAAAAGTGTGACAGTCATTAGTTTCAATAAGTGCTTTTAACTGGGTATGACTCAAAATCCTAGCACAGTAGCTGTGTCCGTGCTGTGAATGTACCAGCAGCAGGGAGTGCCCTGTCCCCGCACGTGCCAGGCTCTCTCGGGGTCACTAGCTCATTTAATCACAACCGGATCCCATGAGCTACCAATGCGGAAAATACTCCTCTAAGAGGAGTTAAGAGATATGTTCAAAGTCACACAGCTAATAAAAATCAGCCAGGAATCCAACTGGGGAACTTGTGCTTCAAGTCTAAATTCCCATCACTAAGAGATCACCTGGGTTCTCTACCTCTTACAGATGCCTGCCGTGAGCTAGAAACAGAAACGAAGTCTGCTTAACCGGGCTGTTATTTGTAGTTTTGCATCTAAACATTAGATTAGCACAATGGCTCTACTTTTCACCATTGGGCAAACTGGGATTTCTTTATATTAAAATTAAAAAGAAATAAACAACTTAAGTGTTGGATTTACAAGAATGAATTCTTCCAGGTCTCCTGTCTTTAAAACACACATTGTCTCTGTGGCTTCTTCACCCTCCTCAGACGTAATAAGCCAGCTGAGGGGCCCAGAACCTCTCTCTGGTAGTTCACACTATTGTTATGCTGACTTACATAGCTGATTCCAAATCATCCTTGTCCAGCCTGTGTCTGGTAGCTCTAGCAAAGCCCGTAGACAAGAGCATAGTGGACAGAGGAGGGGGCCTTTTGCTTGTAGAGGATCTTTTTACTATTAAAATAGTTTTATCCCTAAAAATGTCCTCTAGAAATGCTAACATCAAAATCAGTCTACTGGACCCGTTGAGCACGCTTGCCT